TTCGTGCAACATGACATCGTAGTTTCTCGTTCGTGGATGAATGAGTAAATTTACTTTAAGGTGGATTTCTATGAGGAACACCTGGAACATCGACAACAATCGTCCCTCGAATGGCAATTCGATGAACCGACTCTCTGATAAATTGGACTGTTAACAGGAGAATGCTGATCATGCGCATCAGTCGCCGAAACGCGATTCTCAGAAGTTGGTGACTCGATTTCCGATCAGTCGGTGATACTTTAGGTTCTTGAACGCTTCTACTCGTTCATGAATGGCTCTAATGAACAGGTGCACTTCCGCTCGAAAATCTTACAGTAGATATTAATATTATATAAAAGCGAAATACAAGCGAATAGCAAAATAATAGCGGAAACTATGTACAAAGTAAAAAATAGCTAAGGGTTAGTTAAAAAGTTAAAGAAAGTGAAGTTAAAAAAAGTTTAACACTGTATGCGATAAAGAAGCTAGTTGATGTGTTAACAATTTTATTAAAGTCTGTCTTTGTATTTAAAGTTCTTAGTCTACGTTAAAAATTGAAACTTTATTAAAAATAAATGCGAAGAGTTTTTAACGGGAGTGCACTGCTTAATATAATAAAAATATTTATCTTTAGCTCTCTATAACTGGATATTTCTTTGCTTATTGAGGAAGAAATTATGATTGATTATTACTAGAGACATTATAGGAGAACTATGTATATGATAAAACAGAATATATAGATATAGCCGTTAATCCATTTTAGTTTCGTTACAGTTGATTCACAGAGGCGAACGGGGCCAAAGCGATTTGCCGTGGATGCGCGATGTCGATGATCCAATTGAGGGTTAGCACCTCTTAAAGACAACTGACCGTTCGGCCGATGTCGTGAACGATTTCGATCGATGACCAGAGTGATCGCGATAACAGCTTTTGGCCCCATTGCCACCAGGCGAATTTATTGGTCCGACCAGGTTCTCTAGTTTCCTAACGATATTAGCGAACCTGTTCACAAGCGAAAACTGACATTCAATAAAATTTGTTCGACACAAACTTTTATTATTTATCAAATCTTCCTACGCTATTAGAGGCGTGACTTTCTTAGATTTAGTAAATTGCTTTCCTTTGATGAAGGTACTAATAACTCGAAGGAATTGTTCGAAGGAAGATAGTATTAATTTGAACAAGTTGTACCATATGTTAAACATAGTATTCTAACACGGAATTTCGTTTACTATAAGAGATAAATAAAAATTTGTCAAGTTAAAAAATCAGAAGATCATGAAACTTTAGTTGGAAATGGAATAATTTTACGAAAAGTAACCGCGTATTTTTAAGTATATTTTCAAAAATAAAGAATTTGATACCTGTCATTTTGTAATCACATTTCAAAAAATTCTTTTAATTCTGAATATCGCCAGTTTAAAGCATCGAAAGTTAATTTTAATATGAATGAAAGCACAGTACACCATGCAGCGGAGATGAAACTTGGCCCAGTCTTCCTTGCTGATTAAGTTTCATTCAGTACGCGTCAGTTTTCGTTAATTTCAATATCAATATCTTATCAAAGAGTGACGTCTTCATCATCGGACACGGCTAGCGGAAACGTATTTCCGCGCTGCGGCTAATTTATATTCCTCTTATATGTAACTGACTAATTAACTGACTGCCTATTATTACAGGAGCCACAATATCGCTACCACGAAACCTAAATCTGTCTATTTAGGGCTTCGTGAACCAATTAAATTACATTATTATTGATGATCCTGCATCTTCGAATCATTGCGGTTCAAAATTTTAACATTTGCTTATACGAGTTCCTTGATAATCGTTATTTATATCAAGTTATTACAAACGTAATGCCTTTATATCCTGACGTTTGAAAGTATTAAAAAGTGTCGCTTTTTATCTTATTATGAGTTCTCATAAAATAATGAAATGTTCGGACAAATATTGAAGAGAATTAAACAGAAATATTCGAAATTCTTCAATAAAATGGGGTTCTTTTTTTTAATGAGGCAATGTTAAACCTCATATATTCAAGAAATGTTGAACCTTGGCTGAGATGGTTGCCTCTATCTATCTTATTCATTAAACATGTTAAGTAGCTTTTCTGTCATACAAAGCATCAAGTTGACTGATATTTCTTCATATTTTTAACGATTACTTTTCTCAGTTTTTAAGCAAATAATAACTCTCCTAAGGCATTTGAGCGGCAGTGTAGTCATACTCTGTTAAACTTTACAAATTTTCTCTGTGAATGATACAAAATGGCCCATTTGTAGCTATCGATTCACAGTAAAAATCGAAGGACGTGGAGAGTCCTAAAACGTAGGAATGACGAGGATCGTAAGGTCTTGAATAAAGAGCTCTCGAGTCACTCGAAGCACTTCAAGCCAAGTATTCTCTCAGTAATTAAATCAAAAATGTAAAGTCGAACTGCGACTGATCTCTGTGGTCGCCGAAAAAATTGGCGAGACGTAATTTTGCGTTAAGTAGAACCACGTGGAACCGATAGAAACCAAATCACTTTTGTATCTTCAAATTTTTCGTAAATGCATAAAAATTCGCGGTCTACCAATAAATAATCTGCTTGTTTCAAGTTTAGCAAAAATTGGCCCGCTACGTAATTACTTATAATTGATACGACAGCGTAGGTACGTTGACATTGAAAATAAATTTTTGAATAATAAAAATATTCAATAATAAAATAACAATGTTTGAATACCACTGAAATAAGATATAAAAATGGATAGAGCTTGAATTTTCTTCTGGATTTGTATAGATTTTTCGAGTTAATTAAATGTATTCGTATTTTCATAAAGAAATCGCATCGTAAAGGCAATATAAACGAAATTTAACTCTGATTTATGAGAAAATTGCTTATTAAATTATTGGAAATTTTCATAAAACAGATCATACGAAATAATTGTTAAATCTAATTATTTATTTTGTAATATCTTCTCTCTGTAACGATTATAGGATGGAAGTTCGAAGTTGAAACAAATAAAAGCTGGGAGCAATTTACCTTGGTGAAACATACTGAATCAGTTTCACCAAGTAATCGAGAATGAAAGTGAACGAATATCTACGTACATATTTATGAGAATTAAACTTTGTATTCTCGTTACCTGCCAGTTGATTATAAAAATAACACGAGACATCAAATTTCACGATTTAAACAACGTAACGCGCACTGGCGATAATCGCATCTATGCAAATGCAATTTTATAAATAGAAGGCACAAATAGCATGCAAATGACACACACGAACTACAATATTATACCGCGGAACGTTGAATGATGTCACGCGTACATGTTCGGTAACGTACGATAACTTCCTAAACGCGGAAATTTCGCTGAATAATATTCTGATTTATTATTACGCTGAAATCGTAACATAGAAGATCCATCGGGGCTATAAATGAAGAACAAAGATGTGTGGACCATAAATATAGAAATTATACATAAACACTATAAAATATTTAATAGAAAGGCGTTCGATTTAAAAGAAACAATTCATTAAAATCACTGTTCTTAAAACGATATAACATACCAGAGACAATCTTCCTTAAAGAGAGAATCATATTTTTCCTTAATATGAGTTAGAAGTGGGAGATTCTGAGAGGAACAAATAGCAGGAGAAAAATATTATTCATGAAATTCCATGCTATGTTAGCATGTCCTTTTTCGCACTACTCGGAAGACGTTTCGGAAAAGATGAACCGGAAGGATGGAATTTTCTTTTTTCACCATTTTTCTCTCTCTAAATGTCACATGCCTTGCAGTCGGAAGAGTTTAATGTCACCTTTAAAAAAAACGCAGTCCCTGTTTGACTTTTACGAGCAATAAGCAACTTTACGCAAACGCATAAATATTTCAGTATCCCGTGCTTGAGCGCGTGTTTTCTTTTTCCGGTTGTACGGCGAACGTCGGAGCTGCAATTAATTCTTTTGCGAAGAATTTTCTCGTTCGACGTCCTAGGAAATACAGACGATGAGGATTGATCGAACCTGTTGAGATGGAAGTATGGTAATTGGATTGAACTTTACAAAACATATATTTAAATACATTTTGTTTGACGATGTTTTATCTGAAATTAAAATATTTGACATTGACAGTTGTCTTACTTAGGGTCTAGAAATTATGATAATGTAAGTGAAACACTTTTGAGAGAGAAATAACTTAAAGTTGACATTCTACAGAAACTCACTTAAAAGCAACGATTAAAATATAAAATGTAAATGATAGAATAACAGAGTTAAAAAAAGATATGTATAAAGGAATTATACTTCTAATTACATTTTTGTCTTGGAACTTTCTCTTTTATTTTATGATTCCTATTTGCAAGATTTATAGCAAACATCACGACACTCAGGAAAACACATACTACGTGGTAGCTATTTCTCTTATCGTCGTGTCATTGACAGCATGAATTTTTTCCGACGACCATTCCGCCTTTTTTCCCCTTTTATAATCGCATGAATCTGTGCTTGCACAAAATTTCTGCGAATTATTGGCAGAACATGGGCGCGATGTCAAATAGTCGTATGTACCATATCGTTCGCCGTAAAAATTGCATTAAAAATTAGTTTTCCTATAGTTTGGTACCTGCCGAACTCGTTCGAAACTTTCCCAACAAAGTGCTTAACTGAACGAATTCAACTTTGTAGCGTATATTACCTTATCCAGTAACGCAGTAGCTAAAATAATTCTTGTTTATGGTGAAGAAATAACGAAATTGTGTCTGTTACGCATAAAATATGAATATTTATTTATTATTTCTTAAGAAACAAATTCTCTCATATCAGATATTTTTTCACAAAGAGGAAAGGAGAAAAATTGCTCGAAGAATTACAGTTAATAAAGAAATTAACGTATATGAACCCACGTTTGCATATTCCCTACCGAATAATATCCTACTTTTATTAGAAAACATTTAGAGAGGAGATAGTATAATAAAGGCGATATGTATGGTTTAAATGGCGGAACTGGGATTTACGAGGACGACGTTTTATGTTGCAGGCCTCGTTTTACTCGACAGCACTGAAAACCCTGATCTCTGTGTCTACTGTGATACTGATTGGCCTCATATTTGCTTACCATGCCTTAGAAGTTCAGGTGCGTATAAAAAATCCAATAGGCTCGATGTTACGTCCTTGTAGCGTGCATGTAAACAATCTATCCGTGGACGTTGCCTTCACCAAACGAACGTGGAAAAAGGCCATACGATATAAACCCGTGGCGTTTGCACACACCTGTGGGGTTTCATTTCAGAAAGCGGAACGCGTTGACTGTCTTTCAGAGCGGAAGAAATGTCTTGATCTCGTCTCGCTCTATATTCTAGCGTTCTACCCTTTACTACACCTTTATCGATGTTTCCTGTGTCACGGATGTATGTTTTATTTCTCAAACAAATTGCAAGAAGATTGCTTATTTACTGAAGAAATTGTTGCATGTGAGAATTAATCTATTCGGGTAATTCTAACACTTTTGATTGTCTATTTTCTCAATTAGTATTTAATCGTTAACAAGAGTACATTTCAAGAAAATTAACAGTTGAAAGTTCAAATCGACAATATTATATTTTCTGTAAATATTCTAGAAAGTTATTTCATAAGTTCTCTTGTCTTTTTAGTTTGGGAGTTGTCTATTTTCTTAATTAATATTTCATCTCAAATCGATACAAAATTTCAAGAAGACTAACAGATGTGTGGAATGGAAAGTCGCAATCAAGAACGTTTGCGACATCCTATGCTTTATAAATTTAATGAAAAGAAGAAAGCAAAGTAGCAGTGATGTTTGCCAGCTGAGCGGACAAATTAATCGGCGTGGCTTTTCGAGGGTGATCAAAGAAGTCACGTAGGTGCGTGAAATCGACACGCCTATTAAGCACGCGTCGTGCACCAACCCCAAATTACGAGTTAACGATGATTAATCGAGCAATTGATACAAAACTAATTTTCCGGTTTCCCGCCTACTTTCCTCCTCCTCTCATGATTAAATCTGATTAATGACCGTGAAATTCCATCGACACAAAAGTAATACGAAGCGACGATACCACGGTAAAGTATGAATAGTTGATAGTACGATAATTTGTCGAGTCGGTAAGTAAATGAAACTTCAATGACTGGATGTCGAACGGAATTGAGCTCTCCATCAACTTTCCAACCCTCGTGAAGCAACCCTGATTTTCTGCCTATCTAAATCATTGTCGACATACGGGAAAATTAACTACTTATAGTTCATGACACGTACAGGCATAATCGATATTATTATCGATCTGCTGTTAAATAGGTTGTTCGTTTTAACTACGAAGGATAGACATTGTGTTAACACAACACTTCATTTATACATTTTTTCAATCTATTTATATCGTCGAATTCTTTTTTCATTTAATATCTTGGTTATGAAAGAGAGAATTCCATAAGTTTGCTTAATATTTTTGTCCATTTAGATTCTACAGTTTAAAAAAATTTCAAATAATTTACATATTTATAACATTATGACAAACTATATATTGCTTGCAACGTAATAGCTTGACCACTCAACCTTATGCATTTAAATTATGTTATACTGAAATGCGGTGAATTACAAAATTATTCACAGAGTTCGGAATGTAGAAAAAATTAGGCAGTTACCAATACCTTTTTTATTATAGGTACGTAGTTAGAGTTCTAAAGTAATTGTTATATCATATTAAATATAATGATTTACATACAATATATTTATCAGATCCCATATGAAGAAGTTGAAATGAAGCTTAATTCTTACGAATCTTAATATTCTTTCGTTTTCTTCCAATATCATCGTGCTTGCGTATTCGCATTTCACTCAGATGCCATGAAAATATTCCAGCAACGAATGAATGGTCAGAAACATCTAAAATTTCGTGTATGAACCAACGAATCGCGAATCAGCCGCAGTTACTCGATATAATTCGGACATAACTAAAATAGGGGAGAACCATACGTTTATTGCAAATCCGTACGACAATGAGAGCGACTGGCTCGTTAAAATCGTCGATCGCGTTGACCGACATGAATTTTCATGAAGAACGACTATATTTTCATCCGCCTCATACCACTCAACGAACCGGGCCAATAAGCCGCGATTTTATGGTTCTTCGAATCGCTAGATGCCCGACAAATTTCACCGTTATTAACGCAGACCGTGATTATTTGAAACGGATTCTCTCTGTTTCTGTCTAGTCTATGCATACAGCAGCATTGGTGAGATAATATCCGCGGCAATGCCACCGCTTTTATACCGCAGCATTAAAGCAAATCGCTGTGTGCACTGCCATGCAAGCCGAACACTGTCAACTCGATTGCGAATCGTCAAAATCGTTCCACGTCGTATCGGCGTGGTTTAGTACTAAACCGGGCTAGAGTTACAGATTCCGCTTTATGTCTTAATACAACGAGGTCCAAACGCAACGGCATCATTTTCGAAGGTGCAATAACCATGGTTATACTGCTGGCTGGGTTGTACAGTTTGGTGTTCCAGACATTATGGATCGATTCATTTTTTCGAAACATGAAGCTTCGTTATGGGGAGAATTAGCGAAAAAAGTGATACAACATAGTTTTCAAGAAATGAGTAAATTAATAGAGGGATCAATAATAAAATAAATAAATTTTAAAGGTTTGGTTTTGCTACGAACCCTTCGTTGTTGTTGTAATGGAACACGATCCTACGCCACAAATCTAACCCTAAACCTAATCTAAGAAATGTCGACGTATCCTGTCGTAAGATCTATCGGATCTACGTGACTCTGTCAGGCGCAAAATTAAGCAGGAAAAAGGCTCATGAATTTCATGAAACCGTTAATTTTACGTAATAATTGGTAACTTGGTCGGAAACTAGTTGCTATCGCGATTACGAACAGCGTAGCTATGATAACGGCTGCGTTTTACGTGCCTGAATTTCTATCGAGTTACAGGGAATCGCGCGGTTAACTCGATTGCCACTACGCTCGTGAGAAAATTGCAAATTGTTCACGATGACGAACGCATCGAGGCCGGTACTCTAATTGCGTTATCGTGCGCCGGTGCACGCTTTGCCGGCATAATACCGCGAAACGACGCGATTCCAGCGAAACTGCGTCTGTTACGCGGACTGATAAACGAGATCGAGGCCTCGTAAACCACTACTGGTGAACCGATTCCGCTGATGGGGATGGATCTGCTGGAAAATTGGCCGAGAGAAACTTATTGCAAAATGGAGAAAACATTGAGATTTTTACAAAATATGATACAAGTATATTCCAGAGTAAATGACTAATACTAACCTGTGTAGTAGAAAACAGTGTTAGAGTAACATACAGTGGCATACAATACGCATACAGTGAATTAACATATAAATTGCATACGAAAATGTCAGAAGGAATACATATCATAGAAAGGCCAAAGGAACGAGCAGATGAGCACTATTCTTGGTCAGACACGTATTTACTGAATAGTAGAAACTTGCATAGCAATATATAATATACTGATATTATATAAACCAAATATAAGCAAAATTTGGACTCGAATAAACCATACACTAAAATAAAAACTAAATATTCTCTGTAAAACGATATTAACGGTGTTACTTTCGTTTTTATCCATCGTTATCAAATTCACTCTGAAAGATCATTTATTTCTACATAACTCTTCTATTCAACTTTTTACTCAAAATCCCACTACCTTCACACAAAACACACAAAGAAATTTCTGATGGATAACATTCCTCTAGAACAATATACTTTCGTTTTTATCCATCGTTATCAAATTCACTCTGAAAGATCATTTATTTCTACATAACTCTTCTATTCAACTTTTTACTCAAAATCCCACTACCTTCACACAAAACACACAAAGAAATTTCTGATGGATAACATTCCTCTAGAACAATATACAATTTCGAAGATTCAGTATCGACTAATTTATATGCGTGTCACAAGATTCCTCTGATTTCGAGTATCTGATTCGTCCAGTCGAAGGCAGTTTGCCTCTCTTATCGTAAGCCTGATGAATCCTCACCTGTAATTGATGATAGACCGGTTATTACTGATCGCAGAATTCACCCGTAAGTGGTATAAGCCGTCATAAGTCAGACGCGTGGTACGTTGCTGGTCGCGATAACAGGTCAGGTTTCTTCGAATCCCTATCGGGCTAATCTCTCGATCGTATATCATGCAGAATGAATTGCATTATCGCACGAGCTCGTTTAACAGAGAGAGGGACTCGAATATCTCGGTCAACAATCCGTGGTCAAACGGTACCATTTGCGAAGACTTTCGGTGGAGATTCGCGATTTGATTGATCGATCCGGAAGCCGTCGTGCGTGGGGAAATGTGAAACTGAGATACAGGGATAGTTTAAACGTGTGGTAGAGTGTAATGTATCAGGTGCGTCACGTGGAAACGGAGTGAATAATTAATTTAATCCTACTCCTTCTTGATCTTACTCTCGTATTAACAAATCAGAAAAGAGAATTTCTTGGCATTTTTCTCGAACTTAATCGAATTTTTCTATCATTAAAAAATTGTTCAAGATTTTAAAGAAAATAATACAACTTACGTGTCTTACCTTGCATATAAAGCCAGATTATTTTATGCACAAGAAAATAAGTTAGCAGGCTCTATTCTCAACTTTCCAGAAGATACGATTTCCATTTTAAATTATATAAGCCGAGTAAAACATAACACGATAAACGTAACTAACTCAAAATCTCCCATAGAGAATCTCATCTACACTGTGTTCGGTATAAGTATAGTGCTCCTCCTAATGCCTTAATACAGACTAGTTAAGAAGTTCATAACACTTAACTCGAAAGTTTATAGTACTTAATTATGTATACGTCAGTGCATCTTCATCTTTCTCTATCTTCTACTCGATGAAAAAATTTCAACCTTCATTCAACACTAATTGCACATCACACTTCTTAATTTTCAAACTCAATTCATTTCACGTTCAATAGCAAATTGTAATCATAAAATCACGCGATAAAATCACGACACCGAATCGATAGGGATTTATGGATTTAGTATGTTTGCATGTAACGTGATGCACAACCACCTCGATAGTGAGACGAAGTTTGAAATTAAGAATGGTCTGTTAGCCTGTGTAAACACG